ATATTTCATTTATTTTTACTTAAAACATCAATAATTTAACTTTTTTTTAACCCTGACTGTAATAAAGAAAGAAAGTACAAAACCACTCTACATTCTCTTTCAGTAGCGGTTGCTGATCCTTGGAGATAGCTTGCATACCCTCAACATAAGCAAGCTCCAGGGTACCAATACCTTCGGTAGCATAGAGCCGGCTTCCCGGGCAATCAGGAAGCCAGGCGGAGTGTCATTACCCACCGCCCGGCTTCTTGATTGCCTGGGAAGCTGACTCCATTCTGTTTGGTCGGCTGGATGCTGATTGGCCGGGAATCCGGCTCCCTAGCCAATCGGCATCGAGGCTGGCCAAACAGATCTGACAATATGGTGACACGACACCCACTCTGCAGGCACCTCATTCCCCTCACATAGATCCTTAGCAGCATTCATTAACGTACCAGTCCCTCGGCCTCTCTCGGCTAGCTGGGCAGTCCCCCGCTCTCCAAGATCTGCCCACGTCTCCTGCGTGTACAGCGTCCATGTGATCAGCCCTCAGCCTGCTATTGCGCATGCGCAGACTGCCCGGCGCTCTCATTCAGAAATCCTGTGCATGCGCAGTAGAGGGCTAAGGGCCGACCACGCGGGCGCTGTGCACACAGCAAATCCCGGAGAGCTTGGAGAGCTGTGTCTGCCCAGCTAGCCGAGAGACTGGTACGTTAATGAATGCTGCTAAGGATCTATGGGAGGGAAATGAGGTGCCTGCAGGGTGGGGGTTGTGTCGCCATATTATCAGATTTGTTTGCCCGGCTCGACACTGATTGGCTGGGAAGCCGGCTTCCCGGCCAAACAGCATGGAGCCAGCTTCCAGGAAATCTCCCTCTGACCGGAAGTTCCAGTATCGGGAAAGGTATCGGAGCATTTGGGGCGAGTACTCGTACTCGCTCAAATACTCGGTATCGGCACCAATACCGATACTAGTATCGGTATTGATGCATCCCAAACAAATACTATATCTGATGCGGACGAGACATTGCCCACCCCACAGCCACACGTAACAATGCCCCGTCCACAGCAAACGGGGGCTGGGAATGCCCTGGCCACAACTGATTGGGGGCTGTCAATGACAGTTTTGCATGGGCTTGGGCGAACTCGCTTTGCAACAAACCCATGCACATTACTAGTCTTCAGCTCATATAAGAGGAGTGTGTAACTTTTAACACTCACCTTTATCTTCACAGTTTACCCTTAAATAACCTCTCACATCTGAACACCCGACACTAAATTAAAATTATAATACAGAAAGGGAAATCGTCAGTGATCGGTTGTGGAAGCATGTGTAACAGCTATATATCATAGAGCGCCATCTAGTGGTGAGAAAACATCATGGCAAGGGGATAGCAGTGAGCTTTCAAGTCTGCAGACTTGAAATTGGAACTATAAAATAAAAATGGGACTTTTGAGGCACCAGTATGGGTGGAAAATGATAAAAATTGTTT